TGATGACAGCTTTGAAAAAAAGCTTGAAGTCCGGAATTGTGATGCCGCCAGCTTTGCTTTTCTTTTTCAAAAAAAATCTGGCTATTCGGGTAACTGATCTCTTTCTAGTAACATAATTTTAATGAAAAAAAATGTTGTGGCATGTATCAGTACTTCATTCCTTTGTGGATATACCATATAAAAAAAATACATTCATGAATTGATGAAAATTTAGATTGTTTTCACTTTTAAGCTATTAATAATGCTGCTTTGAATATTCATATATGTGTTTTTGAATGGACATATATTTAAAAAAATCTTGGGTATATATTTAAGAGTGGAGTTGATGGTCATATGGTAACTCTGTTTAACATTTTGAGACACGGCAAACTATTTTCCAAAGTGGCTGCGCCATTTTATAAAAAAACCAGCAGTGTAGAAGGGTTCTGGTTCAGGATCGTTACTAGTAGTAGATAAAAAAAGGTTCAGGATCGTTACTAGTACTACTGTTGGTTTAATTAGCCATCAATAAAAAAAGAGTATGAAGTGATAGCTCTTGTGATTTGATTTGCATTTTCCTAGTAAAAAAAAATGTTGAGCAACTTTTTACATGCTTATTTGCCATTTACATATTTTTTTTGGAGAAATGTTTATACAAATCCTTTGCCCATATTCTGTCTTAATTATTGAATTGTAAAAAAACTTTATATTTTCTATATACAGATTCCTTATCAGATATATGATTTGAAAAAAAAAACTCCCATTCTGTAGGTTACCTTTTAATGATGGTATCATTTGTAGTACAAAGTATTGAATTTTGTTGCAGGCTAGTTTCTCCATTTTTTCTTTGACTTTTGTGTAAAAAAACCTATCTAAGTAACCATTGCCATGAAGAGTTACTCCTGTGTGAGTCTTAAAAAAATTTATAATTTTAGCTCTTACCTTTAAGTCTGTGACCCATTTTGAGTTAATTTTTGTATATGGTGTGAGGTAGGGGTCCAACTTAATTCTTTTTACATGTGGATATCCAGTTGTTCCGGCATGGTTCATTGAAAAGACTGTTCTTTTGCCATTGAATTGTGTTGGTACCGTTGTCAAAAATCAACTGACTACATATTTAAGAGTTTACTTCTGGATTTGCAGTTCTTTATCATTGATTTATGTGCCTGTCCTAATGCCAGTACTATAGTGTCTTCATTACTGTAGCTTTATAGTAAGTTTTGAAATCAGAATGTGTGAGTCCTCCAAATTTGTTGGTCTTTTTCCAGATTGTTTTGATGATTCTGGGTTCCTTGAATTTCCAATTAATTTTATGATCAACTTGTCAGTTTCTGCAAAGAAACCATCTGGAGTTTTGATAGGCATTGCATTGAATCTATAGATCAATTTGGAGAGTATTGCCATCTTAATAAAAAAAAGTTTTTCAGTCTGTGAACATTAGATGTTTTTTTATTTATTTAGATCTAAAAAAATTTTTCTCCATAATGTTTTGTAGCTTCCAGTATGCAAGTCTTATATACAAAAAAAGTTAAATTTATTCCCAGTTGTTTTAATATTTTTTATGTTATTGTAAATAAAATTATTTTTCTCAATTTCACATTTAGATTGTTAACTGCTAGTGTATAGAAATAAAAAAAATTTTTATCAATCTTGTATTCTGCAGCATCATTTGAACTTGCTTATTAGTTCTAACATCCTTATAGTAGATTCCTTAGGATTTTCTATATACAACATCATGTCATCTGCAATTTCTTCCTCTCTAATCTTGATACCTTTTATTTCATTTTCTTGCTTAAAAAAAATGGCTAGAACCTCTAGTACAATGTTAAAAAGAGGTGGTAGGAACAGACATCCTTGTCTTGTTTCTGTCTTTAGGGGAGAAAGTAGCTTTTCACCATTAAATGTAAAAAAATCTGTAGATTTCCTTTATTAGATTGAGGAAGTTCCCAGTTATTCATAGAAAAAAAAGTATTTTTATTATGTAAGGGTCTTAAATATTGCCAAATGCCTTTTCTAAAAAAATTGAGATGATACCTGGGTTTTGTCCATTATTCTACTAAGTGGTGTTTTAAAAAAATTGATTTTCAGATGTTAAACCAACCTAATATTCCTAGGATTTTTGCATCTATATTCACAAGGGATATTGAACTTAGTTTCTTTTCTTGTTATATCTTTGGTTTTGGTAGCAGGGTAATACTGGCCTTATAAATGAGTTGGTAAATGTTCTTTTCTGGTTTTTGGGAAAGAGTTTGTAAAAGATTAGCGTTCTTTATATCCTTGGTAGAACTCACCAGTGATGCCTATCCTTTTTTTTCTAGAAGTTTGAAATTACTAAAACTATTTACAAAAAAAGGGTCTGTTCAGAGTTTCTGTTTCTTCCTGAGCCCAATTTGGTAATTTCTGTCTTTCTAGGAACGTATCCATTTCATTTAAGTTATCTAAATTTTTGTCATACAGTCGTTCATGGAATTCCAGTAATAATCTTTTCTATTTTTGTAAGGTTGGTGATGATGTCCCCTCTTCCATTCTTGATTTTACTAATTTTCTCTTTTCTCTTTTTTTCTTAACTAGCTTAAAGTTTATCAGTTTTATTTATCTTGTTGCCCACTTTTAAAATTGCTTCAACAAAAAGTTTATTTGCCTTTCTTTTTAGGATTGATTTCTTTATCCCAGGAAAAAAAATGGTTGGTGGGTTCTCAATATGCTCCAGCCCCAGACTACTAGAACAAGAGAGAATGATAGAATTAGCAGTGAAATATGCGAACCACCCTCCTGCTCTCTGGATAAAAAAACAGGTGAGCAAACCTGTTTAAACTTGGAGATCTGGGCATCTCTGCCTACGCACAAAATTTGTGTTCAGCTCACTTAATGCACCTAAGAAACCTAGGCTTGAGTGGGAAGGGTACGTGCTCACAAAGAGCTCCCCCACATCCAGAATTCAGACTCCAGAATGGTCAAAGAAGCAGAATCTTTTTGATGCATTAAGGAAGACTCAAAGATATTTTAAAAAAAGAAAATACCTTCTCGGTTACCAGTGTTCATTTGAACACTACTCTAGTAAAAAAAAATTTTACTTTATATGTAAGTTTTTTTAAATCAGCTCTCTGTCTGTGTGAAAAAAAAATGGTAAACCTATAAATCAGATTATTTTGTCCTAACTATCCTAAATAAAAAAAATTAAACTATTATTCTGTCATTTGGAAAGGAAGTGATTTCTTTTTTTTTAAAAAAAAGATTTTATTTATTTATTTGACAGAGAGAGAGAGCACAAGTAGGTAGAAAAAAAAGCAGAGGGAGAGGGAGAAGCAGGCTCCCTGCTGAGCGTGGAGCCTGATAAAAAAATCCATCCTGGGACCCTGGGATCATGACCTGAGCCCAAGGCAGACGCTTAACCGACTGAGCCACCCGGGCGTCCCAAGGAAGTGATTTCTGATTCTATCCCACTAAAAAAAAGAGCTGAGCCCTGCTAAATCCATGGTGCCATTGCCTCTGGAGAGCTCAAAAAAAGGGATCCTGAGAGGGAATCCACATTTGTGGCTAATAACTCATGTTTCAAAAAAAAACTCAACACAATGCTACATAAGCTGACTGTTCATTACCTCTGAGAACTAAAAAAACAAAGAATGAGCTCTGCACAAATCAGTTGTTTGTCTTCGTAGTTTTTGAAAAAAACTTTTATTTCTAGAGTGCCTTCTATATTTACCAGCAACTTTTATCCCATCCCAGACATTTTCTTATCTCCTTTGCCAGAAAGGAATGTACCAGTACAAATATTAAAAAAATAAACTGATTTTAAAATTTATATGGAAGGGCAAAGGGACTCGAATACCAAAAAAAGTTTTGAAGAAGAATAAAGTGGCAAGTATCACATTGCTCAAATTTAAGATTAAAATACAGCTATGGTAATCAAATTAGTGTGGTATTGGTGAAGGGGTGGACACATAAATTGATGGCACAGAATAAAGAATTCAGAATTGGATCCAACACACATATGGAAAAAAAATTTTTGACGACAGTGCTAAAGAAATTCAGTGGCGAAAGGATAACCTTAAAAAAATATATACAGTGCTGGGACAGTTGTTTATCCATATGCAAAGAAACAACTAAAAAAAAAGTGCCCTACTTTATGTTGAAAGTTCCCACAAAATAGGTTACAGATGAAAAAAAAAGACACAAAACCATAACAATTTTAGAAGAAAACATAAGAAATATTCTAAAAAAAAGGGTAGGTGTGTTAGGACATGACACCAAAAGCCAGATCCGTAAAAGAAAAAAAAGATATATAGGACTTAATCAAAATGAAAAACGTTTTTCTGCAAAAGACAAAAAAAAAGACTCGATGAAAGGAATTTGCACGTTAGATATCCAACAAAGGATATGAAAAAAACAGAATACATAAAGAACTCGCAAAAGTCCGCAGAAAGAAAACAAGCATAATTTAAAAATGGGCAAAAGCCTGAATAGACACTTCACTGAAAAGGATATAAGGACAGCTAGTAAACAATGACAAGATGTTGACCATCATTAGGGAAATGCAGATTAAAAAAAAAAATAGGGGGATATCTCTAACACCTATTAGAATGACTGAAGTTAAAAATTCAAAAAAAACCATGTGCTGGTAAGGATGTGGAGTGCAACCAGAAGTCTCTTATATAAAAAAAATTGCCAGCAGGAGTGCTAGATACTGCTGCCAATCTGGAAAACATTTTGGTAGTTTTGTATGAAATTAAATAATCATTTATCATAAGTCCTAGTAATACTGCTCAAAAAAATTTATTCTAGAGAAACAGAAAGCTCTTGTTCATATAAAAACCTGTACGTGAACATTTACAGTGGTTCTATTCATAATTATCAAAAACTGGAAACAACCCAAATGTCCCTCAAGAGGTGAGCAGATAAACAAATTGTGATCCATTCATACAATATATTGTTATTCGGCAGTAAAAATTGTTGAACCATTGATGCACTCCACTTGGGTGAGTCTCAAAAAAAACATACTGAGTGAAAAAAGCCAGTCTCAAAGGTTACGTACTTTATAATAAAAAAATTGTCGCACTCTGGAAGACAGAAATACAATGATGGAAAACAGATGAGTGGTTAATAGGGGTTAGGGGTAGGGAAAGGTGTGAGCATAGAGGGAAAGCAGAGGGAGGTTTTGGTGGTGATGGAACTGTTCTGTATCTTGGTTTTGGTGGTAGTAAGACAAAAAAAAGTGTGTGTGTGTGTTAAAATCCACAGAACTATACTCCCTTCCCCGCTAAAAAAAAAAAGTTTTACTGTAAGATAATTAAAAAAAATAAAATAAAAGGTTTTTAAAAAAAAAGGGGCATAAAAAAATGTCTCTTCTAATTATGGTTTCCATGTCAAGTTGTATCTGTTCAGAGTAAGGCAGCTGCTTGCCTTAGCATTTCCATTCTCAATGTATCCTGTCACATTTTTACCCTCCGACCTTCTGAGTCATTCCTTCCATGTGTCCTCAGAAAAAAAATTCCTTTTTAGATTCTCTTTGGATTTCCCACCCATTACTGTATGTAGAAAAAAACCTGAATCTCTAAAAAATGCCGTGGGGGTGGGACCGGCAAGGTTTCCATGTGCTCCTTGCCCAGGGTTACAGTGAGCTTGGCCATCTCGGCTCCTAGTGCCATGAGCTCCCTCCGGTTATCTGCCTCCCACGTGACCTGACCTGGTCCTGCTCCACAGCTCCCTGCTTGGTTTCATGCCTCATTGGCATTTCAATGAAGGAACTTATTCTTAGAAAAAAAAGAAAATCTCAAACTGGCATTGCTTGAATGCACATTTTAATTGTAGTGAAAAAAACACTCCACCGGTGGGAGTTGCAAACAGCCTTTATGAAGTCAGATTTGTAAAAAAACCATTCTCAGGTGGCTGTTTTCCTCCTGAGGGTTTGTCTTATTAAGCTAAAAAAATGGACAATGGAGGCACGTGAGTGTCTGGGTGGCAGCAGGCTGCTCTGTAAAAAAATGGGATAAAGTGCCATAAATGTCTTCCTTTATTTTATCTGCTTTGGCTCAGGCTCCTGGCAGGGTAAAGGGTTCTAGACAGCTATTGTGTGCTGGGCTCCAGCAAAAAAAGAAAAGTTGTTTATTTCACAAGTAGAAAATCTGTACCTAAAACATGGCAAAAAAATCAAAGGTAATGTCCTTTTACTCACTTCCGTATTATAGGGTACAGTACAAAAAAAGTTGTGTTCATGCTACCTTGGCAGCTTTTATTGATCAATAAAAGACAAAAAAAAATTTTTCATTCTTTCCAGATGCTAGCAAATGAGAAGATAGATCTATTTAAAAAAAATTTTGTCACTAAGGAGATGGCAGGCACATTTTTTTTCTTTCTTTTTTTGCCAACTTTAGGGTTTTGAAAATACTCAGGTCTCAAAAACAGTACCCTAAAGGCTAAAAAAAAATTATTAATCCTGCTAAAGATGACCGTTGGAGAAAATTATTTCTCTCTCATTTCTTAGTCTCTTTTACTCTTTGATTCTTAGTGATAAAGAGAGAGGTGTACAGGCAAGCAAGATGGGGAGGGAAGGTACAGAGAGATTCAGTCTTTTGGCATCATTAAAAAAAACTTCTCATACCATAGCTTCTGTTTCTGAGACTTGAAAAGGAAGGGCATTTTAAAGCACTTTGGTGGCCAGTGTAGTAAGTCCTAGATTGTACTTAGTCCTAAAAAAAAACTCCCTTGCTGCTCATTTCTTTTGTCGAAAATAAAAACCCACTTACCAAAAAAAATGTAAAAATGGCCTATGTATTTAAAATTGCTTAGTTTAGATGTTTTTCAAAAAAATCAGAGAAGGGATTTCCCTTCATTTGATAGTTCTTTACCAGAAAGGACAAAAAAAGTGAATGAAAATAATTATCGTTTTTTCTTAAATTTCTCTCAGACTAACTCTTCTTTAAGATTTAACTTCTTCTTTAAGTTGTAAAGCCCCAAATTAAATTCATAAAAAAAAGTACTTAACTGGGGGCGCCTGGGTGGCTCAGTCGTTAAGTGTCTGCTAAAAAAACAGGTCATGATCCCGGGGTCCTGGGATCGAGCCCCGCATTGGGCTCCCTGCTCAGCAGGGAGCCTGCTTCTCCCTCTCCCTCTGCTGCTCTCCCTGCTTGTGCTCTCTCTCTCTCAAATAAATAAAATCTTAAAAAAAAAATACTTAACTGTCTACAAAAAAAGCAGGGAGCCAAGGAGTGAATGTTGAGGGTTTGGTCTTTAAAAAGCACATGATAACTTATTGCTTCTTAGGAGGGAGTTCATTTCGTTGATTTGCATCAGGAACATGTAATGTTCCTCCATTTATATGAAGAGCAAACTTATCTCTTCATATAAATTTCTTTAGTTCTGGGTTGTTTTTTAGTGGCAGGGAAGAAGGGAGCAGGCACCCCAGCACTTTTTCTTCCCTGGCAGCTTCAGTGACTAAAACCTCCTCCTATAAAAGAGCTAGATGGCAGCATCCCAGCAGGGAGTTCTTCCCCGCCGGGTGTCACGTGATGGCCACCACAGCCCTGTGAGGTGAGCAGGACAGGTGTTGGTCCCCATTTAACAGATGTGGCAGCAGAGGCTCAGAGAAATGAAGGAACTTGATGGATTTCATAGGCTGTGATTAAAAAAAAAACTTCTGACTCCTACATCAGTACATTTTCTCCAAACTAGAGGTCTCAACCCTATCAGATCTGCTGCCTTCTTTCTACAACTGTCCTGAAATGAAATTCAAAGTTAAAAAAATCAACACATGAAAGATTTTTTTTTTTTGGTGACATAATTCTCTAAATGAAAAAAAAAGGAGAAATTTACAAAAAAGGAGGGGGTGATTCCTAGTCACAGACTGAAAAAAACACTAGATCAGTGGTTGGGCAGATCTTAACCGGAAGAGAGAATGAAGTAAAAAAACGGCTGTTCCTCAGTGTAGAATCAGCGTGAGTACACTGTCTACAGGTGCAGACGGTGCTGGCTGTTGTCTGGTGACGGAGGAACCACACATGCATGTTACCAGAAAAAAAGTGGCTGGCCAGAACGGTGAGCATACTTGGTAACGTTCTGGATACAATAGAGTACAGTCTACACGATGGGTACATTCTGGAACATTTGGACGCCACTAGATCCAAAAAAAGTACTTTGGGTTTTTTGTGAGTTAGGATCTAGTTGCAGATCATTACAAAAAAAAATTCACCTCCCATGTATGTCCCATGGGCCATTCAGAAGTTTCTGCAGGGCAATCCTCTGCTGCTAAACTGGCTGAGTACAAAAAGTCGTGATTTGCAGCATTTGAAAAAAACTGTGTTGCAGATAACTCCCTCAGTGGCTGATTTCAAACTACCAGTAGAAAAAAATTCACGTGGTGCCTGGGTGGCTCAGTTGGTTAAGCGTCTGCCTTCGGCTCAGGTCATGATCCCAGGACCCTGGGATCAAGCCCCGTATCGGGCTCCCTGCTCAAAAAAAAATCTGCCTCTTCCTCTCCCTCTGCTGTTCCCCCTGCTTGTGCTGTCTCAAAAAAAAATAAATAAATAAAATCTTTAAAAAAAAAAACAAACAAACCTGGTTCAAAAAAAACTCAAGATTTAACCAGCAGCTGAGTGGGAGCCAGTTCCAGGGCACTGCAAAAAAAACAAGACATCTAGCTAGCATCTCTGGTCCTGCCCTCTAAATGCCAGTTGGGTTTTCCAAACCATCATGACAATAAAAAAGTATCACCACATGTTTCCAAAACAAAAAAAATCGGGGTCTCTGTCACCCCCATGGAGAACCAGTGCATTCAGCTCTGATGGTCGTTCGGGTCTAAGTGACCTCACCCACTAGGTGCTTTGCTGGGTCGGGGGCGAAAAAAACGCCCCCTGGTGAGTGAAGCCTCTGCGCCTGTTCTTGCTGCTCTGGGGAAAAAAACGCAGCACCGACCAGCACCACGGGGCCGGCCTCAAGCCTGCACAGCAGAAAAAAAGCTGTGCCCTGCTGGTGGCCCGGACCCAGAGTCTTCTCTGATGAGCCCAGGGCAGCCGCAGTGTAATGACACCTGCCCCAGCCCGCCTGTCTCAGCTCCATGGAAAAAAACAGAAAACAAAACTCATGCCTCAGAGCTGTCCCCTGAGTCCAGTGCCTAAAAAAAAGCCCGGCTCATCACCTAAGAAGTGAGCAAGTGGCAAAATGACCGAAGAAAAAAACCCTCTGCTCGGTTCTGGAGCGGCTGTGCGGTACGGATCACAAAGGCAGAGCGCCAAATGGCCTGTATGATGGGCAAGTGGCGCCAGTTCACAGCGCCCTGGGAAAAAAAGGAGCCGGCTGTAAAAATAGTCCTCAGCACTGATAACAATGCGGGAGGAAAAAAAAGTCCGTTTTCTTAAAGAGCAGTAGGTGTAAGGCCTGTGCCCCAAAGGACTCATGGATCTTTTCTTTCCTGCCATAGTGTACACTTGACTCTGAAGTGGCCGTAAAAAAAGGTGGAGAGTTCTTCTTTGACCCGCAGCCTGCAGATGCCTCTAGAAACAAAAAAATGATCGCAGGAGGAGTCGGAATTAACCCTCTGCTCTCCATCCTGCGGCAAAAAAACGACCTCCACAGAGAACGGGCCCACAGAGGGAGCGGCTACGAGATGGGGACGATAAAGCTGTTCTACAGTGCCCAAAATACCAGTGAGCTCCTGTTTAAGGTAAAAAAAAGACGGACATTTCCTAGCTTGCCGTGAGCAAACTCATGGTGGGGTGGGAGTCGTCTCCGGAACTTTCTTCCGTTACTTCTGTCTTCTCTACGAGAGTTCGTTGCAACAAAAGGCTTGGCGTTAATCATGTTCAGATGGGGAATTAACCACCACTTCTTAAAAAAAACAGAGAAACAGCTAGTGTTGAGGAGGCTCCCAGTGAAGTGACAGGCCAGGCCAGGACGGGTTTGGTGGGCTTGAATTTGGAGGCCAATGAACAGAAAGGTGGCCACAGCCCCCAGCATCCGCGGCGTCAGGAGACCTACAGGTGGGCTCGCGGGTTATAGGAGGAGGTGAGGGGTGTGGAGTTTGGCCCCCGCCGGGTGACTGAAACCCCCCTCGGTTGCATCTGTTGAAAGGAAGTACACTTGACAGGAGAAGGCTTTCACTCTGGAAAAAAAAGCAGCTGCAGGGATGAACAAAAGAACAGAAACAGTTAAAAGACACAACAAAAAAAAGTGAAACTGCTGCTTAATTGCCACTGCTTGAGAAAAAGGGAAAAGAAAAAAAAACCGGAGAGTTAGTAATATGCTTGTTAGCATATTCAGATTTCAATTAAAAAAAAAAAGCCCCCTGTACTCTGAATGCTCCGGCCTGCAAGCCTGCAAACAATACAAAAAAAAGTAGAGAGGAAGAGAGTGGCAGACGTGTGCAGAATGGGAGTCGAGGTTCAGCGGCAGTGGCTGTGCACATCTGTTTTGATTTTTTAAAATTGTAGTGTGACCAAAAAAATTTGACATTCCAGAAAAATATCCTCGATTTAGTAAATGAATTTCCTGAAAAAAAAGCGTGCAGTTTGCATGTTACGAAACAGACAGCCCAAATCAGTGCAGACCTCAAGCCATACATCACGGGTGAGTCCCCCAGAGATATTTTGACTATGTCCACGCGGCTGTTTGGTGGCCCAGCAGCTGGTGGAGGGTAGTTGCTTTCCTGGGATGTCACTACCTGGGGAACTGCGAGGTGATTCATCATGGAAACATAAGGAGAGATTTGGTTGGATTTCCTTATTATATACAGGGTTCTTACTGCCCATGTTAAAAATTTATTTTCCAAAAAAAATAAGGGGACCTTTGCGTCATCACTGTAGTATACATCCAAAGGTTTTATAAAAAAACCTCGACTGAACTGATGCCGTTTGCCATTAATGGTCATTTAAATTACCAAAAAAATCCCCTGCTTGGAAAGATTTTTTTCACCAGTTTATTTACTTTGCTGAAAAAAAAACTGAATCTCTGCCAGAGATCAGGAAGCTAACTGGCCCTGTCTGAAGAGAAAAAAATGGTTAGCTCCCCACTTTGCTCGCCATAAGCTTAGGGAGCCTGGCGATGCATTCTCTGCTTGGGTCTGGCGTCTGGTGCTGCCACCAGGAGCCATCGTGTGAAAAAAAAAACACTAGACTCCCTGAGCTTGGGTTACTGGAAATAAACCCTGTTGTTGAAAAAAAGTTAGTCCTTCCTCATTTCAGTACAGGCATTTCTGGCTTATTTGGTGTTTATTCTGTTTTTTGGTAGAAGGAAGAATAACGGAGAAGGAGATAAGAGATCATAAAAAAAAAGAGACTTTGTTCTATATTTGTGGCCCACCTCCCATGACAGACTTTTTCTCCAAGCAACTGGAAAACAGCCACGTTCCCAAAGAACACATTTGCTTTGAGAAGTGGTGGTAGGGAGCGGGCAAAGGTAGAAAAGAGAAAGCTGTGAAATCTACCCAGGAAAAAAACAGAGCTATGATTTGTGGAATGACAAATTTACCTCTGCTCAGCATTTTTTTTTTTTTTAAGGCTGAACTAAGTGACCAGCTGGTGCATAAAAGCAAAACCAGCTGACAGACTTAAATGATAAATTTTTTACAAAACTTCATTGATTCAATTATTTTTTAAAAAAATGATTTTCTTTTGTTAATAACTTTGATTATCTCATGACATATCTTGAATTGGTCAATATAGGTTTTCTTTCCTCTTAGGGAAAAAAGAGACGTAGACTTAAATAAAAAAATACAAGAATGCCGTTTTGTGTGTAAAATGTAAGCTATCTTTATTTGATAGCAACCTTTATATCTTATGCTCAATAAACTTATAATTTAAACATGTTCCTAGTCAAAAAAATTTGAAAATTCTTTATATTTAATGCCTTCATTCACCTTCCTGTAGCCCAAAAAAATGCTTCTTCAGACCATCATAGGTGGGTTTGGAAATGGGAGATTTTGAGAAAAAAAGCTTTAGGGAATTGAGTGTCTGGCATGTTGGCTTAATGTTAATGAATGAAAAAAATGTGTATCCTGACTAATTGTTAGTTTCTTCTCAAACGAAAACCTTCCTGTGCTCTGTGTCTTGGCCGCCTGCCTTCACACTCTCTGCAGGAGGCGGTTCCTTGAAAAAAACAAAGGCCCTGGTGACTGCTGCATTACATGTCGGATCTGCCTTCAATGAAAAAAATGGCTGGCTCTAAAAATGTGCTGAGGATTGATTAGGGGGTACAGAGCCAAAAAAAAATCCTGTCTTTCTGTCTTTTATTTCATTTCTTTGCCAGGGTTCTTCTTGGCACCAGCAGCTCTTCGACATGTACTTGTTGAATGACTGAAAGAAAGCAACTGAAAAAAAACTCCTTGCTAAGCCCGGGGTTGGGAGGCAGTCCCCAGGATGGGTAGAAAAAAAAGTGGAGCCTCATCCCAAGGCTGCTCTAATGAAACTGCTAGAAAGCAGACTGCTGTTCTTGCCTTCGTTTAGATTTTTAGAAAATCCAAAAGGAGTGCATAGGTTGAGGCCAGGCCATTCTGTGACACACAGTGTCGGGCCCAAGGCTGCCAGCTTGGAGAGCACTGTGAGGGTAAAGGGAGTCTGGGAAGAAGGAAAGATCGGTTCTGGAGACAAAAAAACCCCAGTTGGGATTCTGTTCCTGAGCTGTTGGGAAAAGACAGCTTGCAAAAAAAAATCTCTGTGGCTGCAGGCCTCACAGTGTGAGGACTTTGTAGCTTAAACACAGAATTGATTTATGGGGCCTGATGATGGCTGGCACCAGGATTTTAGCCTCTGCAAAAAAATGAATTTTGTCAAGTTTTAAGCAAAGATCATTTGTCAACCGTTTCAATAAAAAAATCGAATTCAGCAGGAGGAAAGGAGGGGAGGCTTTTGCCCTGATGGGAATTTCAGAGTTTACTCAAGGCAGAGGTCATCAGCGTTTCAGAGATGAGGGGAATATAAAAAAATCTGGCTACTATAAGGAGCCCTGACTCAGCAATTGGCCCCAAAGGGCCAAAAAAAAAGGGCTGGGCCTGAGAGCTGAGTACTCAAGAGGCATGGGAGAATTAGAAAAAAAAGATTCAGGGGTGTGGGAGCAGCAGGGGGGTCCTTCTGCTGACTGGCAAAGGCAGCCGGCGGGGAAGGGGACACAAGGTACAGAGCAAGTGGCCAACCCAGGCAAAAAAACACAGGGAGTGGAGGTGCAGGGTGAGCATCTTGAGTGCAGCATGAGATGATGGGAGCCTAGGGAGGTGCCAGGCACTGCCTTCGTTCACCCACCGCCACAGCCCGTCTGCCTGTCAGTCTGCTGTTGTCGCCGAGCAAGGTCCACCTGTTCTGCCCGCCCCCCTGCCAGTGATTCCCTGTCACCATCTGTAATCTGCTGAGACAGGCCAGGTCAAAAAAATTGCCCGGACTGTCGTTCTTCCAGCTCTGTGTCGTTTCGGGTGCCGAGAGCTGGACAGCATCTCTGGTCTGCTGGCCGAGAATGGCCCGTTGCCCTTGTTTGCCAGGCTAGTCCAGATCTCCAGCCAGGGCAGCTTGAATTTATGGTGTGGTGGCTGAGAACGCAGACTGGAGAGAGCCCTTGCTGGGTTCATACGGCTCACTAGATAGATGAAAAAAAACGAGTTACTCAACTGTGGCATGCCTCAGTTTGTAATTACACACGTGTGAAAAAAAACTTGGCAACTGCGTATAAAACAGAGATAATACTACATACCTCCTAAGAAAAAAACAGGGATTAAATGTGATAAAACATATAAAGTGCCTGGTAGAGCACTGCAAAAAAATGTTATTAATTTGCTATTCCTTGTCCTCTTCAGGAAGGATTTTAAGAGAAAAAAAGACTTAGGTTTAGTCCACTGACCTTTAACCTCCATGCAGGTAAGGCCCTGTCTTGTTCAGCAGTGTGCTTGGCACACAACAGGTGCCTTAAGGAATATTTCTTAAAAAAATGAAAGGACCTGCCCAGAGCTGATGAGCTGTGTTAAAGGGATTCTTAAAAAAAAATTCTGGCCTAATGAGTCTGTGGAAAGGTATTTTCTCTTGTGACAGGAGAAAAAAATACAGTCTATGCAAGAGATAGGTTAAGCTGATGTACGATTCTTCCTCAAACTTGAAGTGTTGCTGTGAGCATCAGCGCTCTCCAGAAAATGGATCAAATACTTGGTCTTTCCCAAATCGTCTACCATTCCTCACCAACAGGGTGTCTGCAGGTGGACGAAAAAAACTGAGATAAAGATGTTCTCTGGAACCCTGGTTGTGGTCAGTAGCCTCTGCTTAAAAAGATCTTGTTATAAAAATGATGAAAGACAGAATCAGTGCTTGATTCTTGCCCTTTATCAATTGGCCTAATAAGAGTTGCTGCCCTAGCAACCTCCAAAGATGAAAAAAAGTGAGATTTCTTTAAGTATCCTTATGAACTCATGACTTTTTGTACATTAAAAAAAACCCATTGTGGCCGATTTTCCAACGCTCAGCTTGGTTGGGGGGCGGCCCCTGCTGTGTTGGTTGTGTGGGTTGATGAGGGTTGGGGCTCTCAGAGGTGCCAGCAAAAAAATAACAAGCAGGAAGGAGGAAAAGGAGGTGAGTGTGGTGTCAAGAAGCTAAAAAAAGGAGGACAGACTGGCCAGCTGTGTCCTGTTACTGATAGGACAGGAGAGATGAGTTCCCACGAGCAGCCGTTGATGTAGCAACTGGAAGGTCACTGGCGAGCTCAAAAAAATGGGTGTTATCAAGGAAAGCATACGAAGAAGGAGAAACTATTGGAGTAGGTTTAGGAGCAACTGGGAGAAAAGAAATTGTAACGAGTGGGTATAGATAATAGTAAAAAAAAATTTTACTATAAAAGGAAGGAAAAAGATAGGAAAGGCAAGTAGAGTCAAGAGAACTCCGCCCCCCCCCCAGCTTTTTTAACTCATTTTTTAAAATTTGTTTTGTAAAAAAACTTTTTATTTTGAAATAATTTTAGGTTTATAGAAGAGTTGGAAAGCGTAAAAAAATACCTTTTACCCAGCTTCTCTGAATATCAACATCTGACATAACCCTGGAAAAAAAAGCCCAAGCCAGGAAGTCAACAGTACTGGTAAACTGGTACAGTACTATAAAAAAAACCGCAGTACTTTTAGGATGAGAGAGAGAACAGCCTGAAAAACTATGAAAGAATCATTCAGTGGGATACCAGTTGGGGAGGTGACGGCCTTTTCTGGAGGATGAAAAAAAGGTTAAGTGTGATTTATTGAGCATCTAGTATGTGCAGTCACCGGGCTAAAAAAAAAAGACAGGAAAATATAAGGTTGTCTTGAGCAAGTTAAAGAGTTTGGAAAAAAAATTTTTTTTTCCTGTGATTGAAAGTGGAAATGCTTTGGAGAGAAAAGTGGGTTTTTTTGCACCTGTCGCCAGTCGAAAGAGAAGCTGTAGAAGGTGGCTGGCTGGAAAAAAAACTGGAGGATGACATCCTGTGGGTGGAGGCGCGGGAGGGGCCGTGGAGGGGTTGTGCCCACACTCCAGAGCTCAGGAGAGTTGTTCTGCAGGGATGCATAGCTAAAAAAAGTATGTTCACGTGCACTTGTGTGAGCGGCAGTATGCGCATGCATGCGGAAAAAAACCGGTGTCGTGCTCCCTTGCCTGAGATTTCTTCTTTTTTCTTTCTGGAAAAAAAACAGCAATTTCCTTCATTCCTGGGTATTGCAGATGATCGTGTGCTGATAAAAAAAACCAAACGCTCTTCTTTCATTTTATTTTAAATGAAACTCAAAGACGTATAAAAAAATCATCTTGGAGAAATAGTGAGATGCCTCGTCCTTCATATTATTCTTTCCTAATATGTGCCTCCGCAGCAAGCGTGGTGATGACTTTTAGGAAGATACCTCCTAACCCACCATCAACTCGAGGCATGCATTGAAAAGTGTTTGTGTTCAGGAATCCAGAAAAAAAAATTGTCAAGCAGCCATCTTGGTCCAATCTGTTCCAGGTTCTTAAAAACCCTGCAGGAGCCCATAAGCCTGACTTCGTCTCTTCCGTCTCATACCCAGGTCCCAGTTCACTCTGCTTCAGTTTACCAAGATTTTGTCTCTTCCTTTGTTCTTTTTTAATAAAAAAATAAATATGATTGTAAACAATCAAATAACATGAAATTATGTACACCAAAAAAAAAAAGTTTTCTTCTTTCCCATCCCATTCCCTGGCCTACAATGAACTTCTATATAAAGAGATTGCCAGGTATTAGACATTTTACAGTATATTCACCTTGTATACATAAAAAAAAATGTGTGCTTGTGAATTTCAGTCTTCTCACACACTCCACACTGTGGACAAAAAAAGTAACGTACGTAACTGTGTTCTATGATGAAAATCTAGATTGTTCCCAGTCTGGGCCTATTACAAACAGTATTGCAGTGAACAAACTTTTTTGTATAATTTTTGAA